CAGCTTCTACCTTCAAACCAGCCATCCCCCCCTCTATGTAGTCCAAAGCCATTGTGCACTGTGAGACCTGTATTTTTTTTGGGGGGGTGACACAGGAAAGCTGGGTGCTGAAGCGGAAATGGCCCCCAGCCTCTCCCACCCTGCTCCACAGACCCCTGCCTTCTCCTCAGACATCCCTCCATTCAGCCTAGCTAGATTCACCAAGGTAGGGAGGTGACTGTGGGGACCTGGGTCAGGAAAGGAGCTGGGGAGACTGAGCCAGCGAGGTACTGGATCCCTGGACCCCTTCCCACAGCTGCCCTCCCTCTCTGGCCTATGAGACTTACAGGTAGTCTAACTCCCGGGGCTCCTGCCTGCCCCCACACTGGCCACCAGTGAATCCAGTCCTGGAAGCATCAGCTTCCAGAAACTAGGATTTTTCACTCTCTACTTAAACTCTCAAGGGTGTGTCCCCAAGCCTCCAGCCCCCTCTCAACCTCAGGCTCTGCCCTCTCACTTTCCACCTCCTGTGGGTCCCTCTGCCCCCAGCCCTGACCACAGTCCTCAATGGCACTGGGCTTGTGTGGTCCTGGGCTTGTGGGCTGAGCCCGGCGAGTTGTCAGCCATGTCAGGGTTGGCCAGCATGGTGTCGGCAGTGCCCAGCCAAGGCTTGGCTCAGGGCAGGCTCAGAGCCCCTCTGCTAGGAACCAGGGTTGGGGGTTGCCGGGGACCCTGGCCTCTTCCGCTGAGCCCCTCCCGCAGCCACTCCCACCCCGCTGGGCCACCAGGCCATTGCCAAAGGAGAGGAACTGCAGTGTGAGAAGCTGGTTTGGGGAGAACTTGGCAGGGGACAAGGACAGGGATGGGAGAGGATAGAGTTAAGCTGGGGGGACAGAAAGGCAGAGTCTTAGGCTCACCTGGTGTTGGCGGTTCACACCCCCACCCCAAGCCAGGAAAAGACCAAGTGCTACTGAGACACATGTGGACCACCCCCTACCCCTATTCTTCGCATAGAAATCAATGTTTTGCCCTCCTGATCCCCTAGCTCTTCCTCTGCCCTCCTTCCTTGAACTCCACCTTGGCCCAGGTATCCTCACCTGGTTGGGCTCCAACTCTCGGGAAGGCCTTGCCTCCAATCCCATTCCCATTGCCAAATCCTGGGGAGACAGAGCAGGAAAGAGTCAAGAGAGGCCATGTGACAGGGGTGGATAGGTATGGATAGAAGAAGAGGACAGCGACATAGGAACAGGGTAGGGCGCACCTGGCTTTTGAGGTTTCACACCCCCTCCAATTCCTGTGAAAGAGACAGGGACCAGATGAAGGAGCCTGGACCTCCTTTGAACACCAAACCCAAGCATATGATGTCCCCAGCTCTCACCCTCTTCCCCTACCTGGTCCCTGGCCACCGTTCTGAGTAGCAGGGCCTGTGGAGAGAAGGAGGTCAGAGGCTGGAGCTGGGCCAGTGTGGGCACAAACCTCCTGTGCTGTCTTCACCCCAAGACCTCTGTGCACCCCCCTCCCATCCACCACCCAATAGTTCTTCTCAGGGTCATGAGAAAGGGCCTGGAAGTCTGTGAGACCCTTCCCAAGATCACCGCGAAAGGCATAGGAGTGGCCACAGCAGCCCAATGAAGGAAGCAGTCCCTGGGAGGGTAACACAGTGCCAGAGGTGGGGACAGGGCGGGAGGGATGGGCTCTCCCCTCACCTGGCTTCTGAGGCTTCATTCCCCCTCCCAGGCCTAGGGAGAGACAGAGAGGTTGACACTGACCCCAACGAACCCCCCCAACCAAGAATTCGGTCATGACTTTGACTCTTCTCTCCCTTGTCCTCCCCTCCCTGTGGCACCTGCTCCAGCCACCCTCACGTGGCAGGGCTCTTGCCCCTGGAAAAGTACTGACTCCTAAACCATTTTTGCTCCCAAATCCTGGGGACACAGATGTAGGGGCTACAAGCCCTGGGGTGGGCAGGTTTGGGGCACACAGAGGGTCTAGGATGGAAATGGGCTGGGAGTGTTCATGGATAGGGGCGAGCTCTCTGCTTACCCGGCTTTGAAGGTTTCACTCCCCCTCCTAGGACTAGGGAGAGCCAGAGAGGCTGAGCCCCCTGTCTTCCCCCAAGAACTCAACTCTCTCCCCTTAAGGTTCCCTGATCCCAGCTCTGCCCCCCACCTTCTCCCTCCCTGAATCCCAGGGTGGTGCTACAGGTGTCCTCACCTGGCTGGGCTCCCAGCCCTGGGACGGCACTGGCTCCCAGCCCATTTCCGTATCCTGGGGACACAGAGCCAGAGGGAAAGATAAGGAGGAGGAGGAGGCTGGGCCTTCACAGGGAGCCAGGCAGATGGCGATGTGGGCAGAGGGGCAGGCATGGAGAGCAGGGCTCACCTGGCTTCTGGGGTTTCATCCCCCCTCCAAAGCCTGGAGAGAGAGATGCAGTAGATGAGGGGACCCCAGGAGGCCAGCCTCTTCCTGGGATCCCATAGCCATGATGAACTAAGGGGCGAGGCAGGAGGCATTTGGGGTCCCAGCTGAGGTGGGGTTGAAGCAGGGGTGACCTGGTCTCCCATGCCCAAACCAGCTATCAGGAACCCTTATGGTCCTTCCCTCTACCTCTAGTAAGTCACCAGTTCTGCCCTTGAGGAGCCTGGGAGAAGTCCCTCCCAATGCTGACCCAGCCCTTTCCCCCCACCTCATATCCCTCTCTTCCCCACCTCACCTGGATGGGCTGCTGCACCTGGAAAGGCCCCTGCTCCCAGTCCGTTCCCATTCCCAAACCCTGGGGAGACAGGGCAGGAGGGGGTCANTGGGGCAGGAGGGGTGAGCAGGGGTTTTGGGACCCTTTCTAAGGTGGGGTGAAGGGCCGGCCCATGGTCTCCGCTCAGGCCAATCCCGAATCAGGGGTCTCGCAGGCCTCCCCAGCCTCTCTAAACCATTCTCCAATCCTGCACCTCAAAGGCCCGGTGAAGGCGGGACAGGACACCCAGACACGATCCCCACCCAAGCCCCATCAGTCTCACCTGGCTGGGCTCCCAGCCCGTTCCGAAATCCTAAAGGGGGATAGATGAAGTGGGGTGTTAATGGGGGGAGGGAGCTCTGACTTTTGGGGAGCAGGAGAGAGGACAGGTAAAGGTGAAGCTCACCTGGCTTCTGGGGTTTCAAACCTGCTCCAAAGCCTGCTGGAGAGACAGGCAACAGCAGATGAGGAACTCGGCCCCTCATCCCTGTGCTACCCCAGAACCCTGGCCAGCCCCTACCTGGTCCGAAGCCATTTTGAGGTGCAGGACCTGCAGGAAAGAGGTGGAGTCTGCGTACTTACCTCTTTGGGTGTTTATCCAAAGTGTGGCCCCTTTAGTTCTAATTCCACCCTGGCCCCGCCCCACCCAGCTGGGTCGTAGACCCTTCCCTAGGGACCTAGATTCTCTCCAGAGCCTTAATGCCATACCTAGCTTCCTGTGTCCCCCCTGGTTGGGTGTCACGCCCTGCAGCCATGTCAACTGGCCAGGAAGGTGGACTCCTTGATGCCCCTCCTCACCAGCCACGTGCTATGAGCACTAGATCCTGCCCCCTTGGCTTCTTAGCCATTTCCACAGCCTGCACTGTTCCTTGTTCTGTTTTCAGTGGGCTGTGCCCTCTAGTGGGCAGCGTGGCTGCTTGTTGCATTCCGGTGCCTTACCTGTTTGCCTCAGCCTGCCCACATGCCACAGGCTCTGGGGGGGCCCTGTCTCTAGCACCTGGCTCGTCTCTGGGTGTTTGTTGAATGAGCGTTTCTTTTGGGACATCAAATGGGAGAGACAGAGGGCTGATCTTACCTGCCTTCTGGGGTTTTAGTGCTCCAAGGCCTGGGGAAGAGAAGCCAGCTGTCCCTGAGTCACCTGGCTCCTTCTGTTCCCTCAGAACTGGGGTCGGTCCCCATAGCAGCTACCTCCCTCTGTGACCCCCATGCTTCTGAACTCTAGGGCCTCACCTGGCTGGGCTCCTGCTCCTGGGAAGGCCCCAGCTCCTGGCCCGTTCCTGATCCCGAATCCTGGGGAGACAGTGCAAGAGGAAGGAAGGAGAGATCTGGGAAGTGGGAGGAATAGACAGGTAAGTAGATACTGGACAGGGTGGGGCTTACCTGGCTTCTGGGGTTTTCCACCCCCTCCATAGCCTGGGAAAGAAATGAGCAGGTGAGGGATCGAGAAGCCCCCATCTCTGGGCCTGCTCCAGAAAATCAGCTGGGGGCTCCCAGCTTCTACCTTCAAACCAGCCATCCCCCCCTCTATGTAGTCCAAAGCCATTGTGCACTGTGAGACCTGTATTTTTTTTGGGGGGGTGACACAGGAAAGCTGGGTGCTGAAGCGGAAATGGCCCCCAGCCTCTCCCACCCTGCTCCACAGACCCCTGCCTTCTCCTCAGACATCCCTCCATTCAGCCTAGCTAGATTCACCAAGGTAGGGAGGTGACTGTGGGGACCTGGGTCAGGAAAGGAGCTGGGGAGACTGAGCCAGCGAGGTACTGGATCCCTGGACCCCTTCCCACAGCTGCCCTCCCTCTCTGGCCTATGAGACTTACAGGTAGTCTAACTCCCGGGGCTCCTGCCTGCCCCCACACTGGCCACCAGTGAATCCAGTCCTGGAAGCATCAGCTTCCAGAAACTAGGATTTTTCACTCTCTACTTAAACTCTCAAGGGTGTGTCCCCAAGCCTCCAGCCCCCTCTCAACCTCAGGCTCTGCCCTCTCACTTTCCACCTCCTGTGGGTCCCTCTGCCCCCAGCCCTGACCACAGTCCTCAATGGCACTGGGCTTGTGTGGTCCTGGGCTTGTGGGCTGAGCCCGGCGAGTTGTCAGCCATGTCAGGGTTGGCCAGCATGGTGTCGGCAGTGCCCAGCCAAGGCTTGGCTCAGGGCAGGCTCAGAGCCCCTCTGCTAGGAACCAGGGTTGGGGGTTGCCGGGGACCCTGGCCTCTTCCGCTGAGCCCCTCCCGCAGCCACTCCCACCCCGCTGGGCCACCAGGCCATTGCCAAAGGAGAGGAACTGCAGTGTGAGAAGCTGGTTTGGGGAGAACTTGGCAGGGGACAAGGACAGGGATGGGAGAGGATAGAGTTAAGCTGGGGGGACAGAAAGGCAGAGTCTTAGGCTCACCTGGTGTTGGCGGTTCACACCCCCACCCCAAGCCAGGAAAAGACCAAGTGCTACTGAGACACATGTGGACCACCCCCTACCCCTATTCTTCGCATAGAAATCAATGTTTTGCCCTCCTGATCCCCTAGCTCTTCCTCTGCCCTCCTTCCTTGAACTCCACCTTGGCCCAGGTATCCTCACCTGGTTGGGCTCCAACTCTCGGGAAGGCCTTGCCTCCAATCCCATTCCCATTGCCAAATCCTGGGGAGACAGAGCAGGAAAGAGTCAAGAGAGGCCATGTGACAGGGGTGGATAGGTATGGATAGAAGAAGAGGACAGCGACATAGGAACAGGGTAGGGCGCACCTGGCTTTTGAGGTTTCACACCCCCTCCAATTCCTGTGAAAGAGACAGGGACCAG